GAAACTCACTTCAGTATTAGATAGCTTCTTGACTCTGCACTGTTACTCATTTACACATCTGCCTCTCAGGCCTCCTACTAACACTAACGGCAAGGAGTCTACAACATCAGAGTATCAGAGTATGGATTTGTTCTGGAAGACTTCAGAGACTGGTAAATGATGAATGGGACTTATATGAAAACCATTCACAAAGCTACCTATTTTCAACCTTAACAGCTTTTTAATGTCCCTGGTTTTGAAATGCCAGGTGGGCCCTACATAGCTAGGGTTCTGGTTGCTAAAAATCTGATGGAAAGGGAGAAAAATTATCTTAGTTTTTCCCCAAACTCACTAATGAAGATTTTTCTTTCAGTAGATATTAATAAAATCAGCAAAACTTAAAAAAAAATAATTCTACAAAACTAGGGAATTATTTGAGTTACAGAAGAGTAACACTGTCCTCATTTGTCATCCCAAAAATATTGTCAACAACTTGGCAATTTGCTGTGCTATCAAAACTAAAGAGAGTAGGGTATTTATGTACTTCATCCCATTCTCTTACAAGAAGAGAGGTTTATGAACATAAACCAAAGTTGGTTTTAGGCTTTCAAAAGCACTAGGGTAATGTTTCAAATGAGTGAATCTCCAACTGATGCCCATCTCAGTGCTGCCATTGATTGGGCTCATATTCTTAAACAGCACAAACAACTATCTTTTCAGACTCTAAGTGACATGATTTGCCTCTCAAACCAAAGATATTTATAACAATCTCAATTCCACCAGCAAGAGAGACTCACCACTGGTTAAAGCCTCAGTTTTCTTTGTATTTAGAAAAGGACCTGGCACATAATAGGCACTCAGTTGTTTTGAGCAGGGCTGGGTTGTACTTAGTTCTAGTCACTATACCTCATATAACATTTTATAAATGCCAACCCTTATTAAATATACATGTAGATTCTCTATGGAAAGAAAAGTTGTTCCCGCAACCTTAAAGTTAGTAACATTAAAACAAACAAAAAAACTCCAAAACTCTGCTACTTAGAAACAAATATAAAACATAAAATGCATTTTAATATCTATAAATCAAACAGAGCCTTAGTATAGACATCTAACACATATGAAATGCATTTATGGGCCATAAACTAAACAAAGCTAATTCTCATTATTAGACTATTCAGCCTAACAGACACATCATTCTAAAATAACTCTATGGTGATTTCATAAGGCGGGAAATAAATATACCTACCTAACCTAGAAAAGACAGATGAATAGTCTTAAGTTTATTTGGTCTTTGCAGACTGGGTAATTCACCATTCTGAGTCTTGCCAAAGGTGATTCTGAAAACAGCTTAACTCAGTCAATTCTACATTTTTCATAGTTACCATAATATTTTGGTTTGTTGGGCTTTCCCCTCCCCCCCATTTCCTATTGCTGCTTCTTTTTTTTTTTTTTTATGGCTTCTTGCTGCTGTTGTATCGGGGCATACAACACAGGTCAGAGATTCTTATTTCTCGGAGAAATTTCTCTCTTTGAGAAAATGGCACTTTGATCCTTAACTTGAATAATACCTCCGTATATAAATGGATCCTATCAGCACTATTACCAACCCTGCTTATGGAATTCTAGCACTTTGGTCAAAAGAGTGCCCTGATGTTAAAATCTTCTTAGGGGAACTGTTCCTACCACTAAATTCTTATATTTAAGCAGGTGTATGTGTGTAGGTAGTTGACATACATGGTATATTGTATATACACATACACATCTTAATCTAGCAAAAGTGAAATTTCTCTCTTGACTAGAAATTCATTATAAGGGTGTTAAAGCAAAACCTGAAAATGACTATTTTACATTTAGAGCATAAAATTCTTAAACATAATGTGATGACATAAGATCTAAGAGATCATATATATCATATATGATTGTCATATATGCAGGTTGTGTGAAAAAATGATTTTTATTTTTCTCTTTAATCAGAAAATAAAAGAGCTTACCTTTTTATACTGAGATCACAGCTTACAGTCACTATATTTCAGCCTATTTTATACAAGTGATATGGCTACGAAGGTCCGAGGAGAACGAGAATAAAGTGAGATAAACGTGCTGAAAACTGCTTAAAAGTATTAACCTGAAAATACACAGAGGGTCCAACACCAGTTTTAAAAATACATTAACAAGGTATTTCCAGCTCTTCTGTTAATAATGGTGGCTGACTGATTCATAATTTTCAAACATTCACCCAAATTAAAACTGAAAAGGCTAAGAGTAGAAAAATCTACCAAGTGCTTTGTTCCCAGGTTAACAATATGATAAGACTACACACAACTTCAGGAACCACGTAAAACCCAACTCGGTGCTTCACTGTACCATGCACTGTATCTAGTCAGCATGAGGTATGTTGGAAATCTAGTAGACCAATCACCTTGCACAAGAGATGGGGTGCTCCTGCAGCCTGAAGAAATGCAAGCTGCAAGCCACAACCCGGATGGGCACTGGCCCCATGCAAAGGATATGGCTTCAGTTAGGGCCCCTGTCTCTAAGAAATTATAACACTAACTGACACAGTTAGGAATGCAACTATTCCATTTTTGTGCTAAAAAAGTTTAAAAACTGTCAGAAGATAGCACAGCTCACACGCTAATTCTAAGTTCTACATTGGCCTGTAAACTCCCTGACAAAGAGACTACACTAAGAGGGGGTAAGTAGAGATATTGCTAGGTTTCCAAAGGAAAGGTTTTAAAACAGACACCGTGGCTTTGAATAAAGTATTGCTCTTCTTTAAAATGCTCAGTCACTGCTTTCAAAAAAGAAGGTGTCAGATTGGTGTATCTGAAAGCTGGAAAGCTCAGGGGGTCACATTGCTTTTAAGACCAAGACATAGAAATTGCCATTTCAAGCCAGACAACCTGATGGTTCTAGAAGTCAGAGAAGAAATCTTGAGGGCCCAAGTGAATAATAAATGGTGCGACGCTCAGAGGCTGGCAATAGGGGCTGTCAATGAAAAAACCACCTACAGTGGAGAAAAGAGCAGAGAAGCAAAACTTTATGTTAATTTCATACAATTTGGTGAAGCCAAGAGCTTCATTTATATTTCTCTGCTCTTTCAGCTGTAAGTGGAATTTTCATTACAAAATGGAAGGGTGGGAAGGGCAAAAGGACGAGAGGGTATGGGGGGAACACACTTAATTCATTACAAAATTTAAACAGTTGAACTTGCATGGTTACCACTTCTAACAAAGGACTGACAGCTCAATTATTTTAAGTAAAGCAGAGAAATGTAAAAGTTTGCAGCAACTGGGCAGGTTTACAACATGGTTAGTAACTTCCAACAAACAACAAAATTAAAAAAAGAAAAAAAGACTTGGTAGAAACCATTTTAAATGACTGCCATCATGTTGGAAAACAGCACAGCTCCCTTTTCATCATTATAGAGGGATTGAGTTACAAAGCAGAGTCAGCTACTTCAAAAGAATTTTCTAAAGAGAAATCTCCAGAGAGATTCCAACTTGGATTACAAATTTGATGATCAATTCAAATAACCGTACAGCTGCAACTGCCAATTAATAGTATTCAAAAAACAAAGAGTACTATTGTAAATATTTAATTAATAAAAACTGGACCCTATCAGCCATGCTTTTTCTTCTCAGTGATGGCTCTGTTTCATCCATAGGTCAGCAAAACAGATCAATGAAACATGAAAACTCCCGGCTGAAATGGACCCTCTTGTTGATGTCTCGCCACTAATGCACAGGATGAGAATGATTAAGTTCAAAGCTATTTCCAGCAAGTGATGAAGTTTTATTAAAGTATCACCCACCACTAATAACAGGCAAAAGGTCAAAGAGCAGAATAAACAAGTATATCACTGTATAATATATATCTGAGACGTTACACTACCATTTTGTTTTATTTGTAATGCCTAGTTTGCCCTCATTAAGTGGTTCAAAGACATCAAGAACATAAATTTTTGGTATTTGTGAAGCCCATTATCACTGATGGGCTCTGCTCAGCTCCTAAATACATGAAATTTAAGAGAGAACAGAAAACCCAATTTATGCTAAAACTAAAAATTTGTAAGACATACCAACATTTAAGTACTGGTATGGGACCACACTGTTGACAGCATGAGGGTGAGTACCTTAATGAAACCATTATCTTCTAGTAACATTATAGGCTTTCTAGTAAGGTGAGAATGCAAGTGGAAGACTTAAGTCTGCACCCTTTACAGAACAGCACAATGTTACTGACCATTTTCCACCAGCTTAATCAGGTGCCTTAAAAATAAATGCTGACCCATGGCTGAAACCTGTCACTTTTCACAGCAGCACTCAACAAGAACTGGGACAATCGAAGAGCAAGTTTTTATGGGGACCCTGTTGCTGCTTTAGATTCTGATGTAATTGAAGAGAAAAAGAGACCCTTCAATGAATCACAGAAAAATCATTAATCTTTTATCTGCATGAAAAAAGCCAGGGAGTAAACACAGTATCTTACAGAGTGAAGAAGGCCACAAGAACAAGAGAGGCTGATTGATTAATTTATTATTTTTGAAAACTTGGAATTCAGGAACTAAAATAATCACATTCCTTCTTCCCCATCTCTGGGTAGTGCCATCATTTTAATAAGCGGTGCTCTGATAACAGAATAGAATCTTTATTATGGGAGTGCCCTTGTACAACAGGACAAAGGGCTTACAAAGTAAGTAGACTGGCTCAAACTAACAATTACCTTTGCTTCTTTTAGCAGTTTGTTTACAAATGAATGGGTTCTAGGACTAAGTTATTATTCGTTTTCAATTCTTTGTAATTTGATACCAAAACATATCAAAAATAATAAGCTAAAACAATATTCAAACCCATATTTTATTGGCTTTAAATTACACACGAGTATTTACAAGGTTAAGTTTAAATGAAAAGTCTCTATTGTATTTAAAAAAAAACCACTATAGCCCAATTGAAGTGCCCTTGGGCAATGCAAATCAATCAGCTAAGGATCAGTGACTGCATTAGGAACCAGGCAGTACTCTGTGTTACAACAAAGCAGTTTATTTGTGATCAGTGTTTGAGACTCTATACATCCTTCACAAATTTAATTTTACATAATCTGATACTTTTAAACTTTGAACTGCTAGCCTTTTATTTCCCTAGAACAGAAGGGCTGGTATAAGTTATTTTCCAGAAATGAGGTACCGTTTCACAGAACTGGTTTCTTTTTTGTTTTCAAGTTTTAAAGAACTAAATTTGCATCTGTTAAAATCAAAAAGTAGGAAAGATGTTCTTTACAAATAATTTTGATCAAGTATGTGTTCAAAGAAAGCAGGCTAAAAAGGCTTTTACTCTAACATTGTGTATGGTACTGTATTGTTGCTCAATAGGAATTAGCTTCTGTCATTTGCTAAAAGAATGAGTAGTGGGGAACAGGATATGTTGGGAATTTCATAACGGGCAACAGAACCATTCTCTTGGGTAAACCTACAGAGAAAAGAAACGGAGAGGACTCCATATAAGTTTAATAATCCAATAAAAAAATTCAGGTAAAAAAATATCTTACAGTAATCACCTTAACCTTTTCCAGATTAGTCAGCCAACATATTAACATTTTGGTAAAGGCTCACAAATCATTCACAGATCTATTTTGAAACTGCTCAAAATGTTTTGATAAGTTAAAATGTATCCTAAAAATGAAGATGGCTACATCCTGGGAAGAAAGGTACTCAGAAAGTATTTCATTTGAGTAAGGTGCAATGAATTCTAAAGATCAAAAGCAACGTTATTGATTAATACTCTAAAGTGACTCTAGAAATCTATATGGATTCAGAATTTGGCACATCACATATTATAGAAGACACAGGGACTGGAAAATTCAAAGCACAGTCTTGCTGTGCAAGCCTCACCTGCCCAGAAAGACAGCTCCAACTGAGCTAAGAGAAAGTGTTTAACATTTCAATGGCTAATGGCTACTGCCCATATTGGCCTGGCAAATCTGGAAAGATTAATTACTTTCTTAATTTCATAATTAACACGTTCTTGTGGCCTCACAAACTTCTGCATACTCAAGTATGATTTGAAATATGCTCCTGTATCTATTCTAATGTTTAACCTATGGAGAAATCACAAAGCAGCAACAGCAGGTATTCAAGAGCACCAGATGATCAGAGGGAAATTACCCCCCACATGCAACAGCTTTACAAAGGCCAAAAGACATATTTACCTTACAGCCAAAATAAAGCATCGTTTTAGTAGGTTTGCATCACAGTAACATTTAAAAACCAAATCTTTTATGTGAAAAATGGGGGCATCAAATTTCACCAGCTTTGGAAGTCAGTTATATGGCACATGGAAGAGAGGAGCCTTCTGATGTGGGGGCTCAGAAGCCGCAGGGTGAAAGTATAATGTTAAAGAAGGAAAGGGAGGAACAAGAGAGAAAAATTAAAAGACTGAGGAAAACATGAATGTAGCTTAGTGTGCAAATATTAAAGGGGTAAATTAAGTTATAGCAAATCTATATCCTGAGACTTACTTTATGTGGTCAAAAAGAAAGGTCAACTTTATAAAATAATCTAGTAGGTCAAAAGTTTTGGATAAATTGACCAAATCTGCTTCATAGGAAGGATTAAGTAGGCAGGAAGTACAGAAGTTAGTTGAGTGGTAAAAGCAATGGCCAAAGCAAAAGGAGCTAGAGAGTTTGAATTTAGAAGAAATTCTGGGTGAAAGCTTAATTCTTAGCTTAATCCCCAGTTCCTAATCACCCTTCCCTCTATCTCAGAAATGGGGAAGACCTGGCCAACACTAGAGTGCTAGAAATACTCATGGAGAGGATTTAACTCTAGACTCTGCATTTTGCCATAAAGAAAACTTGCTTCAAATATTTGATCCTTGTAATTTCTCCACATCTTTCTAGGATATAAACTGTGTATATTAATGGAAAAAGTGGTCAAAATAATTTATTTTCTATATATTTCCAGTTATGAAATCAGAAGAGGCTTCAGTTTAGCAATGTCTAATGGACCCATAATTTTCATCCAAACAAAAATGGAAAAGCTGATGCATGAAGAGAAAAAGCATAATGCACAGGTCTTGAGGCTCATGAGGAAGACTGAAGCCACAGTAGCAATACATTGAAGGTCTTTTCCTTGTACATACATGCCCACCTTAGGATCACACTGGCATATGTACTCTTCCACATGCGCACCCTCACTTGCTCACATGCACACACTCTACCACATGTGCATACACACTTGCTTCCCTTTCAATGACAAACATCCTGCAGATGGCTGAATCTTTACCATGTAGCACCTGAGTAAGGAAAAAATGTCTAAGAGCATATCACTGACTCCAAACCTTATTGCCTCCATTGCCACATAAACCTCATTCAAAGTTATCCAAAGGGCCACTGTACTTATGTGTTTGCTTTTATTTGCGTTTATTTTAGGGAGAAAGGGAAATACTCTTGGGATTTTCTAATGTGTACTGTAGAATTTCTGCAGTAAGCATTTAGATAACCCTGCCAGTAATACACTTACTACTTCCTCTCTAGGGCCAATGATATCCTGTTTATGCCACTCTCAAAGCAAAATTTATGGGAAAGACTAACACCTACAAATTTGGAGTAAGCATGTCTTATCCCTAACTCAAATTACATAATTCCAAATTAAACACTTAAAGTTATGTTGCTGGCAACCAGACAAACTAGATAGTGGGCATGGCCCTTCAGTAGCCTTTGAATGGAGTGTAAGTTGGCTGTAAGAAGAACTATTTAAAATATTTAATTTCAATATGGTCAGAAACAGGCAATTAGAACAAGCAATCTTTCAGTCAGGCAAAGCAGAGAGAAGAGCAACTCCAACCAAACCAAGAACCACAAGGTTGTGGCATTTTCAAAGGGAATTTAAGTTGGGTCACTAGAATAAATAGGCCTGAGATCCTCTGATTCCTTTACAGAAACCCTAGATTACATTGTGCTTAGGATTCCTGTGACACGGTCACTAAAAGAAGAAATCAATAAGATGGCATACATACCATAGGCAGGGGCAGCTGTGCTGTAACCATATGGTGTTCCATATCCTAGTGCAAAAAAGAGAAAAGTAGATCAGTCCAGGATAAACAGAAAGTGGGAGTGGTCAAATTCAACTTTTTGACCTGCCCTGGCATCCTGGGTCCTGACAACTTCTTTGGATAAATGAGAACCTTCCTCAGAAAAAACCTAGTCTCGCCTGATCCTTCCTTGGATGCAGAAGATACTTCTCACGGTGAAAAACAATGTATATGCACTTTGTAAGTAAACCAACATAAAATTAAAATTTTACTTAAATTAGAAAAAAGAAACAGAATCAAACCGGAAAAAACCCTCTTTTTGACTACTAGAATAGTCTTTCTCATGGAACTGACCACATTTTATAATTACCAACCTCTTTGTCTGCTTTCACTGCCATATTCATCCATTTCATAATATGTATATGAACTACAATGTATTTAACATGGATATGAAATATACTGGTATATATATATACTAGATATAATTTTTTTGTCAAATGATAAAACTATTCCAGTTATTAACATTTCAAGTCTTCTTCTCAGAAAACAATGCCAAACCAAGACTTCAATTCCCATTTAAAGAAAACATAAGAATCAGGTTGTGTCTACAACCAGGAGAGGATAAAATAGATGAAATTTCTAAGAATCAAATCCCTATGCACATCCAAAAATAACTCCAACAGAAGTGAAGCCACAGATTTGGAAAAAATATTTGGTAATGACATGTTAGATAAAGGACTTACATCTAGAATTTATAAAATACTCGATCACCACAACAAGATAAAGATAAATAACCCAATTGAAAAATGGGCACAGGATATGAACAGACACTTCACCAAAGATGACATGTAGATGGCAAACAAACACATGAAAAAATGTTCAAAATCCCTAGCTCTAAGAGAGATGCAAATCAAAACAACTATGAGATATCATCTCACCCCAGTAAAAATAGCAAAATTTAACACAACAAATGCTGGCGAGGCTGTGGAGAAACTGGAACCCTTATTCACTGTTGGTGGGAGTGTAAAATGGTGCAACCACTGTGGAAGGCAATATTGCACTTTCTCAAAGTTGCAAATAGAAATACCATTTGACACAGCAATTCCACAACTGGGAATATACCCCAAAGAAACTATAAACTGCCACCCAAGCAGCTATATGCACATCCATGTTAATTGCGGCTTTCTTCACAATAGCAAAGAGTTGGAAACAACCTAAGTGCCCATCAATAAACAAATAGATAGAAAAGCTGTGGTATATTCACACAATGGAATACAATACTGCATTGAAAAACAAGAAACTCATGCACTAGTATACAAAACAGGTGACCCTGGAGGACATTATGCTGAGTGAAACATTTCTGTCACAAAAGGATAAATACTGCATAGTGCCACTGTTGTAAAACAGGACTGACATTGGGGTTGGGGAGAGACTGAGAAAGATGGGATAAATTATGTATACTGCACTGAAACAGATGAAGGAGAGAACTGTTTAAAAGTGATATATGACTGCATATTATTGTCATGCCAGGAGTACAGAATGAAGGCTGCACAGTGGAGTGGACTTGGAGGAAGGGATTGTATTAACAATGAAAAAATTCTTTTACTCTAAAAAGAGAAGAATGAACTGGAGGGGAGGGGTGGGCAGGGAGAAAAGAACAACGAATGAATGGAAATCCAAAATCTCTGTAAATTTTCATTAAAATTAATAAAAAAATTTTTAAAGGATAATAAAAAAATCAGGTTATGACATCAAGTGCGATCTGTGACTTGTCGATATCTAAATTTCTGATTTAAGCTCAAGATATGAGAGAGAAGAAACCAGTAATTGTTGGTGAAATTGACATAAGTAACAGTACAAAGAACACTGGAAGTTTAGAACCAATTAGCTCAAGCAGTAGCTTTTTCTATGTTCTTAGACACAGAATTTCAGAGTCACCATTTTATTTTAGAACAGAAAACATTCCAAGGGACTACATAATATTATTTATGGAACTAGAAATATATTACTTGTTGTTATTATGCACTGTCAAGTCACCTATAACTCATAGCGACCATATGTGAAACAGTTCTGAGCTTTTCCCTATCCTGAGCCGGTTCTCACTCCAACACATCTAAGTCCATTACCCGAGTTATGTCAATCCACCTCATCCAAGGTCTGCAATCTTTAATCTTTGAGTAAAAACATCTTACATACTTTGAGGCAAGTGGCCTAGAGAGACTGTTCCTTTTAGTGAAGGACATCATGCTCAGAGGGGTGGAAGGCAGTGCAGGAGAGGAAGACCCTGGATGAGACTGATTGATACAGTAACTGGGACAATGGGTGTTAGTGTGTCGGAATTAGTGAGACTGGCTCAGGACAGCGCAGAGTTCAGAGCTAAGTAGGGTCGCTACGGGTCACAGGCAACCCGATGGCATATACAACAACAAAACAACTAAAAAATACGTAAGTCAAAAAATTACCTAGATGAAACTCAAGGGATAATTAGTCGCTAAAGTAGACTAAGGGAAGAAAATATACCATATTAAGCTTGTTCACAATCTTTTTCTACACATCATTTCTGCTGCCCACCCCCCTTTTTTTTTGGTCTGATTGACTACTACACTCTTTGACATATAGGTCAAATGTCACTGCCTCTGTGACATTCTCCAGGCTTTCTGTTCATTCCTTTAACTAATCCACAGCTTGCACCATATTGCATCACTGAGTTCATTCAGATGTCTCTTGTTTCCCCTCTGACCAGGAGTATTCTTTAAGGCAGACTAGGTCTTAATCATTGCTGAATGTCTAGTCACAAATCTTCTGGGGGAAAAGCACTGAATTCTAAATTTCTGATTTAAGCTCAAGATACGAGAGAGAAGAAACCAGTAAATTGACATTAGTATCTAGTGCCAATGATAAGGACTAGTTTTAAGAAGTAATGGTACAAAGAACACTGGAAGTTTGGAACCAATTAGCTCAAGTTTTAGAGTCTAAAATATTTCCAGAAGGATAAAGAATTTTCACATTTTTAATTCCTACTTAAAAACCAAAATCCATTTTCTTAGACAGGAACTGAAAAATCTAAAATTTATCTCTCTAGAAATATTTTAGTCTCTAAAGTAGCTTATTTATGCAGTACAGATTTAGAGAAGGGCATCATACGAAGAGTGGAGACACAGGGGCAGGAGAGGAAGAGCCTGGTTGAGATGGACTGACACAGTGACTCTGGCAAAGGGGGCAGGTTTGTCGAAGATCCTGAGGTTGACTGGCTCAGGATAGGGCAGGGTTCAGACCCACTGTTCATCATGTCATTACTGAGTCCAGTTGACTCAACAGTAAGTAACAACAACCTAAGTCAATAAGGAAGGTCTGGCAGCCCAGTAGGAAGAAGCTACACTATACAATCCCAAAGGTATGTGTTTGAATCCACTAGCTACACCGTGGGAAAAGGATAGGCAATCTCCTCCCATGTGAATAAATGTCTCTGGAGACTTGCTGAAGGGTCAGCTATGAGTCAGTTCTGACTTGATGGCACACAACAACTACTTAAGTCAATGGTTATAAACTGGCTGCTCACTGAAAGATCAGAGGTTCAAAACCTCCAATCATGTCATAAGAGAAAGGAAAGCAATCTTGTAAGATTTACAGTCTCAGATTCAATTGCATTGAGTTTTGTTTTCAAGTCGTACAAATCGGGGGTGGATAAAGCTACAACTAGTAAGCTAGCACTGATCAGATGATTTGCAAAGGGTCTAATAATATGGACCCTCACTCTTTGCTAACAACATGGCTTTGAAGTGTACCTGCTAGTAAAGCTTTCTGAGCAGCAAAGTGTTCTGCAGTAATTGAACTTAATAGGGAAAACTAATAATAAATAAAAACCTACATTCCAAATGGTATATAACCTCCTCCTAATCTAAACTGAGTCAGTCTAAATCTTATCTAGGTCATAATAGAACTTCATTTTTAAAAGCTTTAGGTAGGTCCCAGGCTTTTACAGTGGCCAATGCAATGACAGAGAGAGCAGATGCTGCTATATCGTAAGAGTATGGCAGGCAATAATCAAACACAAACGATTCCTTTTATAATTGCTGTCAATGGATGAAAGCTATTCACTATTCCACAGTACAAAAACTTTCCAAGGTCATAATAACAGATACAACCAGGTTAGACGTCATAGAACACACTCCTCAACAACAAGAAAGGTCTGTTTCAGAAATTTCTCTATTACATAATAAAATATTTACCTAAAAAGTAATGCCCAGTATAAAGGTAAAAAAAAAAATAGCAGAATGACTGTCTTAATTTTATATCTACAAGCTGGATCAAATTATAAAAGTAGGCTCTTCCCCTCAACCCCAAACACTGTTCTACTAGTATTCCCTATCTTTAAAAAGGAGTTCTAGTGACTTAGTGGTAAGCATAAGGAGGTGCTCTGCCAACAGAAAGGTGCAAGGTTTAAATCCACCAGCTACTCTGCAGGACAAATTTGGGCAATCTCCCCCAATGCAATTTACTATCTCTAAAAACCTACTGGTTTTTAAAAACGTATTGCAATAGGAAAGTCTGCTGTTAGGGACCTCTCTAGTGTACTGAAGAGCAATGGTGTCTCTCTGGAGACTAAGGTGTGTCTGATACAGGCTATGGTCTTTGCAATCACTTGTTATGCATCAGAGAGTTGGACAGTGACTAGGGAGGATAGAAGGAGAATTGATGCCTTTGAGCTGTGGTGCTGGAGAAGAGTATTGAATGTACTGTGGACTGCCAAGAAAACAGACAGATTCACCCTGGAAAGGGTTAAACCAGGCTGCTCCTTGGGCGCAAGGATTCTGGGGCTTCGCCTGACATACTCTGGACATGTTGTCAGGAGAGAAAGGTCCTTGGAGAGGGACTTCATGCTTGGGAGGGTGGAGGGACAGCGCAAGAGGGGAAGAGCCTCTTTTGAGGTGGACTGATTCAGTGACTGGGGTAATAGAGATGGGAATGTCAGAGGCAGTGCGATTGGCACAGGATAGAGCAGGGTTTAGGGTTGTTGTACATAGGGTCGCTATGAGTCGCAAGCGACTCGACGGCACATAACAACAACAACAAAAATCTAGTGGAGGGTCAGCTATGAGTTGATTCCAATTTAATAGTACACAACAAGAGCTCATTGAATGGCATAGTTCAACCTAGTTCCTTGAGCTAAAAAGCCTAAGAAATATCTTTTTAAACCTTCCCCCCTTTTTCATCATTCTCCATATTAAATTCACCAATATTACTTCCAAAATACTCCTTCAATATAGCTACATCCACTTGAGGTCTCTCTATTGTCACTTAACTAGGAAACTTAGAATTAGTCTTGTGCCCACTCCACATCCCCTACAAGGTATTATTCATGATAGTGTAAAAATGGTCTTTGAAACAAACTCTGCTTTTGTTAATTTTTTTCCTCAAGACACTGTCTCATATACTTAAGATACCAGGACCAAGTCCAAACCACAACCTCCAGAACTGGGTCCATTATCCAGCTTGAACTTGCTTCATTCTCCATTTTATTCTCTGCACTCAAAGACATTTTAGCCATACTTTGCCTTTACAAATGAGCCACATACCCTACCATCAACACACAAAATCAGTGCACACATTCTGCTCCCCCTTTGTACTTCCAACATTTCCATACAAATCTAGAGTCTTCAAAGCACAGTTCACCTGTCACTTCTTCAAAGAAACCTCTGGGACCCACTAGTCCAGGTATGTTCCTCTGTAAAATGTTTCCCCAATATTGTATTCTTCTCCTACACCATGCTCAGGTCAGTTTTTAATTGTTTATTATTATCTGATTACCAAGTCACATACTCTTTAAACACTAAGTTTCATAACAACAAAATCCATGTGTATTATGTACCAAAACCAGGTATATACATTTGTTTTAATAAATGAATATACTCTTTATAAAAGTACGTTTTGAGCAATACACTCTTATTCCAACTTTTAGGAATAAATAATAATTTCAAGGCTGCATCATTCATAAGGCTTCCCAAATGGCCTAGTCTAATTTTTTCTTGCTATTACCTAAAACGACTGGAACAGCACATCAGCAGAGAACTGCCAGAAGTCCAGGCTGGGTTTAGAAGGGGTCTTGGTACTGGGGATATTGTAGCTAATGTTAGATGGATCTTAGCTGAAAAAAGGGAATACCGGAGGAATGTATATCTCTGTTTCATTGATTATGCAAAGGCGTTTGGCTGTGTGGATCATAACAAACTGTGGCTGACTCTGAGAAGAATGGGAATCCCAGAACACTTCATCGTGTTAATGTGAAATCTATACTTGGACCAAAAGGCAGTCGTCAGAACAGAGCAAGGTTCAAAATTGGGAAGGGTGTATGCCAGGGATGTATCCTGTCTCCATACCTTTTCAACCTGTATACAGAACAGATTATCCAGGAGGTTGGGCTCTATGAGGAGAAGTGTGGTATCAGGATTGGTGGATGATTCACCAACAATCTGCGATATACAGATGACACAACCCTGCTTGCTGAAACTGAGGAGGACCTGAAGCGCTTGCTGCAAAGGGTCAAGGACTGCAGCTTCCAATATGGATTGAGGCTCAATATCAAGAAGACAAAGATTCTCACCACTGGACCAATTGGCAGCATCAGGATGGATGGGGAAGAGACTGAGATTATTCACAGCTTTAGTTTGCTTGGCTCCACAGTCAACACTCTCGGCACCAGTAGCCAGGAAATTAAAAGACGTATTGCAATGGGAAAGTCTGCTGTTAGGGACCTTTCCAAAGTACTGAAGACTAAGGTGCGTCTGATATAGGCCATGGTCTTTGCATCAGAGAGTTGGACAGTGACTAAGGAGGACAGAAGGAGAATTGATGCCTTTGAGCTGTGGTGCTGGAGAAGAGTACTGAATGTACCGTGGACTGCTAGGAAAACAAACAGATTCATCCTGGAAAAGATTAAACCGGGCAGCTCCCTAGAGGCAAGGATTCTGGAGCTTCATCTAACATACTTTGGACATGTTGTAAGGAGGGACCGGTCCTTGGAGAGGGACATCATGCTTGGTAGGGTGGAGGGACAGTGCAGGAGGGGAAGGCACTCTATGAGGTGGACTGATTCAGTGACTGGGGTAATTGGGATGGGTGTGTCGGAGACAGTGCAATTGGCACAGGACAGAGCAGAGTTTAGGGCTGTTGTACAAAGGGTCGGTATGAGTCGCAAGCGACTCGACGGCACATAACAACAGCAGCAATATTATTTAAAAGCAGTTAAGCAGACAAAAGTATATGTAGTAATAATAATTTAATCTTGATCAACAACTTTAAGTATTTACTTTTCTGCTCACTTCGGCAGCACACATACTAAAACTGGAACTATACAGAGAAGATTAGCATGGTTCCTGCACAAGGACGACATGGTGAAGTATTCCATTTATTTTTGCCCAAAGTGAAGAGCTAAAGCCCAGACTTGCCTGGATTGTGAGACTGTGTTTTGACCACTGCACGTGGTTTTTTTTTGGTTTCTGTTTTGTTGTAGTCTTTTAATACATATTTGAAAGCAGGAGTGGTATCCACTTCCTAAATAACATGCCTCCAGAAACTCTATGAACTTTGATAAATGTCGATAGTTGTAGAGGGGCTTCAGAGCTTTTATTCTTCAGGTCACTATGAGTCATGCTCTACTTGAAGGCAATCAACAACAACACATATATATTGTTGTTATTTTATATGTATATATAATAAAAAGACTGACCTATCAAAAAAATTTATTTTTAAGTCACAAGTTCCTTCTTTGCAATATTGTAAAAACGAAATATTAACAAAACAACCATATACTGCTAAAATAGTGTAAGGATAAAAACAGAAAGAGATCTCCCTCACCATGCAGTGAAATGGAAAGACTATAAACTTTTTGAGACTCCAAATATTTAATTCTTTCCTTTGCTGTTTACTAGTTGTTTCATCTAAGGTGAGTTACATTTTCCTTCTAGTTTCCATATCTGCACATGGAAACTATTTCAATATTGGAAAAACCCTGTGAAGATTAAACAAAGCCACTGACTTGCCAGCAGGTTTCCAAAACTATGGATCACACAGAGAGACTGCCCATCTTCTCTCTTGCAGGGCACCTGGTATATTTGAAGCACCAAAGAGGCATGAACTTTGGGTTGGCAGAGCCACTCCTAACAGAGTGTGCCGCTCGAGTTCCCTAGTGTACAGTAAGTTATTACTGTTGTGTAATACACTATTTAATTTTGGGAGCCCTGGTGACCTAGTTCATAGAGTTGGAATCAATTTATAGTTGACCAACCAGTGAGTATTCAGGGGCAGTTTATCACACAAGAATGTCCATCCTATACTATGCTGCATTGAAAAACAAGGAACTCATGCAATATTATTCAAAATGGGTGAACCTGGAGGACATTATGCTGAGTGAGGTATCTCAGTCACAAAGGGACAAATGCTATATGGTGCCACTGTTGTAGAATGAGGCTGGCATTGGGGTGGGG